CATTTTGTAGCTCATATTAAATAACCGAAATTGGGCTCAAGAAAAAATAATTTTTAACCTGCTATGTCCAAGTCATTCTAATAGAAAGAAGAAAAACTTGTATAATCAATATTTCAATTTGCATTTCATTTTACGTTTAAGTACGTTTGATTGATTGATTGATGGAGGCAATAAATTGATTTATTTAACCCTTAAATTCTTTATCATTACGACTTGAGAAGTTTTGGTGTTTTGTTTGTGTGGTTGATGGATATTACGTTTATGTATATATAATTAGGATAGAATTTTCACTTTAAAAATTTACATCATTTCATTCATTGCAATTTCACTTCATACATGCACTATTGGGAAAATTACACACAACTTCGTTATTTGCATGCTCAAATTTCTTTGAGTATTAATTAAGGTAAGAATACTTTGTGCAAGTGGTAAATTCTTATTTCTTGATGTTTATACAAATTTTGGCATGAAATACTATAAGGCATTCGGGTCAATTTCTATTTTAAATCTTTCGGAATGGACTGTTTGGTCAAATTTGTAAATCCTACGGGATATAGGAATTCTTAAAAAATTCCTTGAGCTTTTGGATATCGCGACCACATTACTCTAAATTTAAGATTTTCGGTATGTTATGTCATTTTATATTTATATCACGTTAAAAAATAATATGAACGTATTTTTATTGAGTGTTTTTCAAAATACTCACTATTACAATAATTTTTCGAATTAGAACAGGTCATGTGGATGCTTGGAATATTGACCGAGTGATGCTTATGAGGTCGCCAAGTAAAATGTTCCGATTTTGGCAACGTTTATATTTAATTGCACGTTATTTTAGAAATTTTGGCAATTGAGCCTTTTCGACATGTTAAACTTTACAGTTTTAAATTCATAGTATATTTTCTTTTTATTTTAATTATATATGAAAAAAATTCACTTCACGTTGAAGAATTAACATTATCAATCAAATCGCAAAATTTATGAAATAGTGTTAAATTTCCGCTTAGATTAGACAATAAAGTTTTGAGGTTTACTTCATGTACAGAAGCCAAATCCACAAAATTTCACCAAAATACTCACACGGGTTGGTCCAGCACAATTTTCTTTTTAAATGCACGGTGGGGCCCGCATATTGTGAGTTTTCTGGTGAAATTCTGTGGGAAGGTTTTTGTACATGGGGGAAAGCTGTAAAGTTTTTTGTGACACGTCAAGTCCATCTTGTGGCTTTTGAATTCATGCTCAACATTTCATAAGGCGTT